CAACCTTTCCTCTGTTCACGAACAGGCACAATGGCTACTCGTACAGACACACCTTATTCATGACCTACACAACTGCTGGCGAACAGGTAAGTCTTTTGACAATGCCCTTTGCTTCAGGATGTGCCCGTTGGTARAGAACTTGGACTCTTGACCTGCTTTTCACGTTTCTGAGCCCTGGCGAGATACCTTTTCAGGCTGCTTTACTTTTACATGGCCCACGTTGCTTAGTTACAAGGCCTGAGGCCTACATTGGGTGAAAAAGGCCCTTTCAAAGGAATTGCAGGCATAGTGTACTCATTCTTTTTTTTTTTTTGTGTGTGTGTGCATGTGTGTGTGTGTGTGTGTGTGTGTGTGTGTGTGTGGAAGTGTGTGTGTGGAAGTGTGTGTGTTCAAAACTTGGAATGCAGTCCGAGCACTTGGTTGCAATGGAGATGGAGCATATCAGTGGGTGCTTGCTGGGCTTGATTGGATAGCGAGAAACATGGTGAAGCCTGCAATTGTAACTATGTCAATTACAACCCCGGCATCTCCAAGCTTGGATAGCGCAATAAACACTATAGTTGACGAGGAAGGACTTATAGTGGTCAGTCCTTGACTCCTTGATATTTCCTCACCTTGCCAGTCTTGTTCTTCTCTTCATGGGGGCAAGGTCTCATTTCTTATGTCTTCGTGGGAGGCGAGGGAACACGTCTTGGCAAATATGTGTGATGCTAAGGCCAGGCATGCTGACCTGTGTGTTTACCAATTTTGGACATTGCCTCTGATTCTGTGTGTTTAATAAGGTATTAATGCCGGACACCTGATAGAGCCATGTGCTATATGAAGTTTATGAACTTATATCATTTGGTGTGAGCGCCTATTTTGGCTTTCGGCAGTCATTTGTGCTGCCAAGAGACATCAAGGACACCATTTGGAATATAGGAGACGGGGTGCTACATGAGGAAGAAAGGAGGAGAGAGGAGTTTGGGCTATGAATGTCACTTGACATGACTTTGTGGGTCAGTCAATCTGGCTGTGGGTTCTTCTCGCGGGTTTGTAGGGTGTGGTGTGGTTCCTGGGATTCAGAAACTTCAGATGTATTTGTAATAGTGTAATTGTGCGAGGAGCAATTCATCTCAGCAGTATCGTGGTGAGAATGGGGTCGGCTACGTTGTGTGCAAGTCTTCGTGCCATTGCCTTCATTCTTATGCGTCTGAGGATTCATGGCACTCGAGTTTTGAGAAAAAAATCGTCCATGGTTTGTATGCGGGAGCTTTTCCTTTTGCAGTTTCCATGGACTAGCAATGATGAGTATTGCCTTCTGTCCATCACTATTGTGGCAATTTTTTGGTGCAATCTGCATGATTCTTGCTTCCAGCGCACATGGACAAGTGCTGCTTTCTATGGATGATAGTTGAAAGTTTATCACACATTTAACTTATCAAGGATTTGTCCGTTTTCTTCATTTTGCAAGGAAAATAAGCAACAGCGAGATGACAATTGCAGTTCACACCATCACATTGAAAGCCAGATAGTCACACTGTGTCCAGAGAGCAGCATGGCACCAATAATACACCAATGGAAGTTCATAGCACTGAAAACCAAT